TTTTAGTTAATCTAGCCTAGCTGTGGTCTTGAGATTAGATAATTCTTGTCAGGGATACTCTGGCAATTACATAGCTCGGTCAGGGGTACTCCACCACTAGAAATGTCTGTTAGAGTGTTTTTTAATACCGGAAGATGTACGGTACATTGCTGTCCGATTTTCATGTGCTACATTGCTGTACGATTTTTTCATGTGATACAATTTTGAGCTATCTAGTCTAGTTGGGGGGCATGGCGTTTTGGGCATGGAATACCACACCCACCACCATAAACCCGACAGACTTACATTCTGATGATACCAGATATAAATGCATTGATACCATATAGGCGACAATTGGTACACCTGTCAGCCGGGTTCACCACCCTGGGCTTCTTGTCTATATTCTCCTGCCACTAAAACACACTGGTTACGAGATATCGCTCTCCGAAACTTCCCGAAGACCGCCATATTGCGTTATGTTAATTACGTTATTTCGCCTTGGGGAGCCATGGTGGCTAAGCGAGTAAGGCGTTGGATCGCTAGTCTAGGGGTCACTTGTTCGATCCCTGCATTGGCCGAGAAAGTTCATTGGGATTTTCAATCGTGGTATCCCCTTGTCAGTGATGCAGAACGTAGGGCCTGATAAGAACAATTGTCTAGTCGTTCGGATAGTACGCAAAACTGAGGTACCGTGTGTACACTGGCATGCACGTAAAAGAGTATGATGTTGTCTGACATGTATCACTGAACCAAACTACATTGGTTTCTTTTGCAATTTGCTTTGGGTAAAAGGTTATCCCTCCCCGGCTATATATATGTGTTTATAATTGTCTGAAATGATGCAACAAAGATATTTAACCAGACAGTTTAATTTTCATTTCATTTCCTATTCCAATATTTCTATCACCAGCCATGTAGATCAACATTTATTAACAAATTTACTACCTGACGAGTATCATCGACGAGTGTTATCATCACTGTCATTTTCATCTGAATCTAGGGCATATTCACTTTCAAAATCACTTTCATTACCATAATTCGACCCATCAATATCATCGCCATTATCGCTCGCTATAAGAGCTAGCACAGCCGTTGTATTTAATCATATAGAACACACCATTAATCGAAAACTATGCCAACATTGAAATGTAAACAGGGGCGGATTCAGAGGGGGGGGGGACATCACCTGATCAGCCACATAAAAAAAGTGTAAAACAACTCATTTTATGAGAAAAGTGTCACTGCCGTGTATTTCTATCATTTACCATCAGATGGTGGGATGGGGTGGGCAATCAAGGCACGAGATAACCATAAAGACATAAGTTTTACATTCATCAATCAACATCCATGCCGCTTATCCTATCCATTACATTTGGAGTCATAATTGTGCAAAACTCTATTTTAGGTTCTTGTCTAGTTATCCGTGCCTGTGTCTGCGATATCACCTCGGTGGAAGCAGGCGTAAAATACAACTAACTCACACTTTATCTGTGCCCCGGCGTATTGGGGAAAAAACGAATAGTTTATGTCCAATCTCCTTTAAACACAGATCCTATTTCGTTTCTTTTTTTTAAAACATACATTGTTTCAGGAACCTGGCAAACCACCTCCTATAAAAATTCCTGGATCCGCTCCTAGTAAACAAGTGGAAGGAAGTCGCTTTTACAACAGACCCGGAGCAAACGTTAAACGGCATTTTGATTGGCTATTTTGTTATGGTTACGTAAGCATATCAGAAACACAAGCTGCAAAACCGTTATTTCGGGAGTATGCGCTATCACGTCAAAGCCGGTTTTGCGGCATTTCGGGTTCTAAGCGTTAAGGACAACATTGTTTGAAAAGTCACAATTTCGATGTATAGTTAAAGGGTATCGCCCAGCTTCAAAATAGTTCTTTTCAGAATGTACAGATGTCATAATTGGATATCGTTGGCACAATGGAAACCCCATACTTCTCCTATCATTATTTTACTCCTAATAATTAATCCAAGCGGTCATTATTTGGTCTTAAGACATAAAATGAAATAATTGGTTCCGTAGAAAATTAAATATTTTAATAGTTGAATTTCGTTTACTGTGGCTTGGCTTCCTACCGCTTGTAAATTGCCTAACTGGATATTATTATTTCAAATTGCATTATGAACGTGGGTCTGAAACGTAAGTACGAGTCGAAAGGCGACAATTCTCAAGTGGAATCACGCTACGCCCTTTGTTTCCTTACAGCCGCCATAATGCGCTACATTATGCGCTAACGAGTCTGACTGTGAGCATCTCTTACAAATGAAATTTCTATCGCTGATTCAGATTCTGACACGACTCGGTAGGCCTATTGTACACGCAAAACGTAAATTTAAAATGGAAAATTGGCAATCCCTGGAGTATGGTGGCTGATTGGTGGCATGTCGTGATGCCGTGGTGTCGCCCTTCATAAGGCGACAACCCGATATCATGACATTAAAAATGTCGTAATGTCGCGTATAAATGTCGTAGTGTCGGGTTAAAATGTCGTGATGTTGTGTTGTCGGGTTATCGGCCATATTCCTCTCAATACTATGAATATGTACCCCCACCCCCGCCTTTTATCTGTTTTATTGTATGTACATTTACCAAACCAATAGAATCATTTAAATTAAACTAGCGCAGTGGTTCCCAACCTTCTGTTGGTTGCGACCTCATTCCAGAAACCATCATCTGATCTCGACCCCTCTAAGAACAAAGTCACCTTTACTATGAAACATCATCATTATTTACAGATCAAAATGTTGTAATGAGAGACCGAGGAAACAAATCGTGAGCGTGAGCGAGGAAAGACGAGTGGCAAGAGGTGTATTGATCAGAGATTTACGAGAGCCGACTGAAAAGTTCTACGCATATCTGTGAAAGACCTGCACAAAGTTGATAGTTGCCATTTTTTCTACATAGTCCCCGTCGACGTGTACACACTTTTGCCGATGATGTTGCAAGGCTTGGATTCCGGTCAAAAAATCGTTCATCATTACTAGGAAAATGAAAACCGACTAGTTCCTTTTTCATTTTATGAGGCAGGTTTCATCCGTGGTTACAGATCTAACCAAAAATATTATCAGGATGTTCTTCAAAATGGCGCAGATTGTCACGGGACGTCAGGAATCTGATACGCTTCTGATCCGCAGCCAAGGGCTTTAGTACACATCTTGCAGAAACTTTTATCAGTGCTAACTCGTTGGTGATAATGTACTCAACCCTCTCATGAGAGTACCCACACTACTGACAATATGTTGAGTAGTCAATCGTTGATCAGGGAATCACGTGGCTAAGCGGGTAAGGCGCTAGCTCGCTAGCCTGGAGGTCAGGCGTTCGATCCCTGCATTGGCCGAGAAAGTTCATCCAGATTTTCCGGCGTGGTTCTCCCTTGTCAGTGATGCAGGACGGAGGGGCTGACAAGGAAAGCTGTCTAGTCGTTCAGATGGGACGAAAAACCGAGGTCTCGTGTACACATTGGCGTGCACGTAAAAGATCCCTTGGCAGTTGGAATTCGATATAAGAGTAGGCCGTAGTGCCGCTTTCCGGGCAAAATTTCCCTCATAGCACACTGTATGGCGTATGCCCGTCTTCATTAGCCCAGGTTAGGAGCAGAACAGTGGGACGTTAAACTCCATTTCATTTCATTTCATTTCAATCGTTGATCAGATATAACCATGTCATGCATCCAGGTTATGTTTTCTTCAATGGTTGCTGTTGATGGCCTTCCAGGACGTGGGTAATCGTCAAGACTCTCTCTGTTGATGGCCTTCCAGGACACGGGTAATAGTCAAGACTCTCTCTATTGATGGCCTTCCAGGACGTGGGTAATCGTCAAGACTCTCTCTGTTGATGGCCTTCCAGGACACGGGTCATAGTCAAGACTCTCTCTGTCAAGCTTAAACTCCGCAGCTCACTTCTTTCCTGTGCACAAGTGGAGGGCATGTACCTGTGTAGGGATTAGTCCTTTTAGTTACAGGTACTTGATGACTGTGCTAAAGCCAGGTTTATCCATTTCTGGTGATTTTTGGGGTAGGTTCACAAGATGGTCTGGTACGAAGGCAATAATAACACAGCAGTTGCAGTCTATGATTCATTCAACTGTAAGTGCAGGGGGACTGAACCACACATAATTACACAAAACAAATGTACGGACACTACGCAGAAATCACAAATGTACATATCAGATTAAATGAATGAATCCGGGGGAGGGCGGGGGGGGGGGGGCTAGCCGTATGTGTCAACTGCGCTGTACAGTCCTGGGTCTGTATGATTGTACTTTTTATTGTTGGTGGCAAAAGTTTGTTTCAACCAAATCAATCTATCATTTTCAGGTTTAGAATTTTTCAGTCAGCCCTCGTAGTATAGTACAACAAATCGCTATAGAATCAATGTAAAGGCCCCAGAATGGCCACGAGGTCTTATGAGGCGTCAATTGAGACTTTTATTGTCAACTCAAAATAGCTAAACTATATATATATATATATATATATATATATATATCAACTCAAATTGCGTTCATATTTTCTAGATGACAAACTATTATGCGGAACTTTCTAAATACATGCGAAGTTTGCTTTGCTTGCGTATTGTTATATGAGTCTATGAGTCGTTTCGTCCCAAAACTAGGCTTAGCACCAAGTTTAAGTCTGCATATCATATATTTGGAGTTTAGCATCAATTTTAATTTTACCCAAGAAATAAAAACTTCATATTAACCAAGTTTGTCATATTTATAAAGTTTAGCATATATATTTGGAGTTGACAATAAAGTCTAAATCGGCGCCTCATAAGAACTGGTCCTATCCATGCAACAAGTTGTCCATCCAAACATTTGTCAGATGAGTTGGTCGGATGCGACCGTTGTATCCGACGGTTGTATGGATTGGTTATATCGTGTAAACGCCACTTTAAAGTAGCAATGTTTAGTTCGTGTTGATTTTGACAAATGAGATGAACTATGTTTTTTTTTATTTTTTTTTTTTTATTTTATTTTATTATCATTATTCAAATGATTGTAACGGGTAATATGACTGCTTCAGCCTATAATATCTTTTCCTGGTTTTCCTGTTACTAAAAAAGAGAAATGCAGTTTTTACGAAACTAAAGGGGTAGATTCAATAAAAGATATAGTAAAGTGATACGTTATATAATATTTTCCATGCCAATTCTGCAGCCTTTTGAACGATACCGTGGTTCCATGGTTACGGCATTACACTTGAATTCGTACCCGAGCATGAAGCGAAAACAAACTTCCATGTCGTTTCTCCATCCACGTTCCATCTGTGTAGTCGACATGGGTGTGTGATGAAAATCTGGGGATTCATTTAAATTCTCCATTTTTACAAACGGTGTTGGGTTTTATAAGTGCCCACAAGCACTACAGTTTTTCTTCTTAATCTCGGCTAAATAAAGATCATCTGTCCCACGTTCGTTTGGAACAGTTGTGATTTGCATTATTAGCCTAACTTCTATAATAATACTACAGCGTTTGCATATCGACAATACATTGAGTGCTAACATAAATTCTTATCGGGAGAATTCACCGAAGAATTCATAGAAACGAGATTACGTTTGTATATAGACAACACATAGAGTGATATCATAGTTTGTATGTCTATAACGAATGAAATGAAATGGTGTTTAACGTCTTTCTGTTCTGCTTCTAAACTGGGCTAATGAAGATGGAGTTATGTATTGAAGGTGTATATTACAGTTATAAGTAGTTAATGCTTTCAATATCGTTATGTATTGAAGGTGTATATTACAGTTATAAGTAGTTGTTAATGCTTTCAGTATGGTTATGTATTGAAATGAGATGAAATGGTGTTTAACGTCCTACTGTTCTGCTTCTAAACTGGGCTAATGAAGACGGGGTATGTCTGTAACATAATTTCTTATCGGTAAAATTCTCCGAAGAAATCACAGAAACGAAATTACGTTAGCCCGAAAAGGTGTTCAAGACATGGCCAAATAGTTTCTCGCTGGTTGCAGAAGTTGTGGGGGTTAGTATTTGATATCTTCAATTACGACAATATTCAAACAGGTCTTACCTGTCATCTTGACGGTTGTCGGTTTAGGGGTCGTGGGTGCATGTGTCGCCATCTTGACGGTTGTCGGTTTCGGGGTCGTGGGTGCATGTGTTACCTTCTTGACGGTTGTTGGTTTAGGGGTCGTGGGTGCATGTGTCGCCATCTTGACGGTTGTCGGTTTAGGGGTCGTGGGTGCATGTGTTACATTCTTGACGGTTGTTGGTTTAGGGGTCGTGGGTGCATGTGTCGCCATCTTGACGGTTGTCGGTTTAGGGGTCGTGGGTGCATGTGTTACCTTCTTGACAGTTGTCGGTTTAGAGGTCGTGGTTGCTTGTGTTAATTTTTTGACAGTTGAATGTGTCGCCATTTTAATTGTTGTCGGTATTGCTTTAGTGGTCGTTGTTGTAGCTGGCTGTAATGCTATGAAATACAAGAATATAATAAACTATAAACATACTTATGGAAAACAGCTACTGATTTAGCTGTTTTCCATTAGTATGTTTATAGTTGATTTATCTGCTCAGTTACTAAATGTCACTTAAAGAATAAGAATATATAGTTACTGTAAAGCATATCTAAGAAAAGTATTAAGGATTTCATCAATGCTGACCATCCATCTATTGTACTGTATTGTTCCATTGTCTAATAATATGTATTTTCAACTACTGGCTATGAGTTAAAAATTGTTTTGGTTTACTAACTAAAAATTATGAACTATGTTACCGATTTAAGATGGTAGTTTCTATTGCATTTCGCACCAAGTATTTGTCATGTATTCAATTATTTTATTTTTAATTGAAGTGCATACCTGGCTGAACGATAAATCCAAAATTCCCGGCGGGACGATTTACCCAATATTACCCAATACTACCCAATACCACCGAATACCACCCCAATACCACCTCTATATCATCACATACTACCCCATACTGCAGCATAATGATGCATAATGGACATATCATTTGACTTTTTTCAAATATAGTATGTGGTGATATTGGGGTGGTATTGGGTAGTATTGGGAAAATCGTTCCACCCCAAAATTCCAACACAAAATATTGGTTAGTTATTATGTGGCCGTTAACTTACCGTATTCACATACCCAAGGGTAGGAATCGAGGGGAAGTTCACACGGAGCGTCTAACCACCGTCCAGCGTCCATCTTTAAAACGACACAGTCTTCAAAGTTGTGAAGGAAAAGAGAAGGTTCCCCTGGTGACCAATTGTAATAGGATGAAACCTCGCCTGAAAATCGAACAATAATTAATTAAAGACGCAACAAATCGAACAATAATTAATTAAAGACACAACAGACCATTTTTATTATAAGAGATATCAAGATGGCGGTGTGTAATTAACATTCATTCATTTGAATAATTCTAATAAAGTGTAGCGAGAATATTTTAACTATAAAAACAATTTGATCTGTGTTTTAAAGAGATTCTTCTGATTGTGTATGGCTTTACTTTCTATATTCAACATTACTCAGCATGTTGTCGCTTTAAGATAAAGCCAGTATATGACCTTACTGCCTATATTCAACATTTACTCAGCATGTTGTCGCTTTAAGACAAAGGCAGCGTATGACCTTACTGCCTATATTCAACATTTACTCAGCATGTTGTCGCTTTAAGACAAAGCCAGTATATGACCTTACTGCCTATATTCAACATTTACTCAGCATGTTGTCGCTTTAAGACAAAGGCAGCGTATGACCTTACTGCCTATATTCAACATTTACTCAGCATGTTGTCGCTTTAAGACAAAGCCAGTATATGACCTTACTGCCTATATTCAACATTTACTCAGCATGTTGTCGCTTTAAGACAAAGGCAGCGTAAGCAATACACGTTATCTCTGTTTTTAATTTGAAGAGTGCCGCTGCCCGGGCAAAATTTCCCTCATAGCACATTGTATGGAGTATGCCAGTCTTCATTAGCCCAGCATAGGAGCAGAACAGTAGGACGTTAAACCCCATTTCATTTCGACTCTACTGTTTTTTAATATCTACCACAGATAGAGCAAAAGGTTGTCAAAAGCGTGTATGGGGTTGATCTGTACGCATGTTTACCTCTTCGCCTCAAAATCATGAATGTAAATTTAATTCGATCGATTCTAGACAGATTACACCATACAAAAGGGGCAATGGGGGAGTGGGGGATATATTATTAGGTGGTCTCTTGCCATCAATATAACTTGTTCATTGTTCAGAATTCCGAGAACAATGCATCGTGACATCACTGTTCTCTGATGTGGCAATCTGATTAAAACACAGATCCTATTTCGTTTCGTTTTTTACAGTTCAAAATTTTGTTTTACTTGTCTTTACTACACTAGGATCTGGAAGAGTGGTTATATAACCCGCGTTCTGGATGATGTGGGGAATTAGTCAATGAAACGGTCTGTTACGACGACTTCTTGGGATGCGATGCACGCAACTGTGGGTAAACCACTAGAAAGGTCAACGCTGATTACAGATTAACCAAATGTATGACTTCATAGGTCAAAAGCCGCATGTATAAGTATAAAAAAACGTAAGGAAATATAGATTTGTATTTTAATCCGATTGATATATCATATAACAGCTTTAAGATAGAATTTGTTATCTAGAGTTAGTTGCTCGAACTTTGGTAATTAAAGTCAGTCCCTGGCTAAACAAGATTAATCTTTAAAATCTCTACAAGGTAGCTTGAGCGACGCATGCTCGCTGTTCCGAGTAACATTTTCTTGATATACAGCTAGCCGTTTATGTAGGCTAACAAATAAATAAATTTAATCTTACCAGTGACCCAGCGATATTCGCCCTCTTTCTGTACATCCGTCAAACCGATCCAAACTCCACTATAGAAATTTAGAGACCGCAAGACGCCAACAATAAATTCTTCAACGACATCATCTTTAACAGTCAGTAGATCGCCACCATTATTTTGACAATAGGCTCTAGCTTCTTGCCAGTGATTTTTACGAGTTGTAACGAATTCGTAACATTTGTCTCCGTGAGTGTGAAGATACTGACCTCGTTGAATATTAACAGGACACCGGTACAATTCTTCTTGAGTGCTTCCTGATGACAATTCATATATTACATCAAAATTAAAATATTAAGGATTATGTGGCTGGCGCTTTCAGTTCCATCGGAACATCTTCAGGCATTAAAATGAAATGGAATGGGGTTTCACGTCCTACTGTTCTGCTCCTATACTGGGCTAATGAAGACGGGCATACGCCATACAGTGTACTATTAGGGAAACTGTGCCCGGGTGGCTGCACTATGACTTACTCTTATATCGAATTCCAACTTTCAGGCATTTAATAAATATTTTTATTGTTTATATAATTGTTAATGGAGAATATGTAATGGAATATATTCTGATGGAACTGAAAGCACTAGCCGCATAATACTGTGTTTCATTCCTGAATATTGTAATTTTCATATATACAAGCTAAGATGAATATATCAAATATTGACAAAAAAAGAATGTAAGCCTTAAAAGACATAACTTCAAGACTGACTGTTAACAAAATGTGCTAAACGGTCCAGAATTGGTGTTTGGTTGGTGGTGGGGGGGGGGGGGGGCAATGTGTTGTTTGCTAGGTTTTTTTTATTGTTATTAAAATTGTGATTAAAAGGTTAGTCGTGACAATTCCTGTGAGTGTCTACGAAACTGAGTTTAAATAGGAAGAAAAAGAATCCTGTATTTAGTTTGATTACATGTTTTTTTTTTATCAATCTAATTAATTTTAAATCTTTATTTCATTCTAAAATTAATTTTACTTGGCCTACATTACATAAAGGCCTAACTATTTGTCAAATTTACCTATTTATCTTTCATATTTCATCAGATTTGACATTGGACCAACCAATTTAATGTTCACGTCCATCCGTTCGGGGATTTGGTAAATAAATAGCTATACTTGAATTTTCAAAAACTTAAAAAAATTTAACAAAAAGCTTCTGAGGACAGTGTGCTAGCATGTGTTAGTTAAGAGAGAGAGAGAGAGAGAGAGAGAGAGAGAGAGAGAGTTAATGTCCACTCGATTGACACAAACTAAGTCAGTTTTATTTCAATAATTCGCTTGCGCGTAGGAATCTTTAGCAGAGGGAGGAAACCAAAGGACTCAGAGAAAACCCACGAGGTTGGACAGACGACCCTACTCCGTGTCACGTACAACCGGGGAGTCGAAACCACGACAGTTGACTCAATGACAGGCTTTATTATACAACGCACACGTGCTAACCATTCGGCCATCCCCTCCCCCTCATGTCCTATATATAAAACCCCTTATAACCGCCTTTAGTATAAAATGTGCCAAGTATGATATAATCACTGATATCAATACTAATTTTCTTTGATCAGCAGACAATAATTTCCGGCGATAATTTCCTCCAATTTCCCTAGTTTATGCTCAGAATTTATTAAATCTTTAGCTGAATTGAGTAACGGGGTGGTCTGTGGTGGCGTAGCTAAAATTTGTGTCGAAAACACAACACAATACCCCAACTTTTAAACGATAAGAATGAATGAAATGTGGTTTTTATGGTACGTCAACACCAACCGGGTTATATTCCGCCGATTAAACGATAAGTAAAGTTAGAGAGAGAAATGGGGTTTAACGTCCACTCGGCACAAACTATATGTCATTTCGGGACTAACATATGGTTCCGTTTTATTTCATTAATTCTCTTCCTCGTATAATAGGGGTCTTTAGCAGTGGGAGGAAACCGGAGAACCCGGAGAAAACCCACGACACGCGACCCTAATCGAAACCCCGCCACTTGACTCACTGACAGACCTCCTGATCTAACACGCACGTGTTAAAACATTCGGCCACCCAACCGCAAGAAATGTAAAAACGACATATAGTGGACGCTTACGGCTAGCCCCCGGATCCTTTCACTTTTTTTTAATTGTTTGTCTGTGTTTTCCTAAGTATGATGTCGTGTCCATAGATTTGTTTTTGTGTAAATTTTGTGTGGTGCAGTCCCCCTGCACTTACTATATAGAGGCAAATCTATAAACATGTGGCCTGAAATGTTATCTAAATTGTTAATTAGTCATTAATTAACTTATCTAGATCATAATCAACTCTCGATGTCATCGTTAGCCTGCGATAATTACTGGATTTGAATACATTTTTTGATGGATAATTTAACGTAAAAATGGATAATCGAGACTTTGTTTATTATAGTACCAATGTTAGTAATGACGACCGAGACTTGCCTAAAATTGAATCGCTAATATCTCGGTTCAGAGTGAAACAATCTGGCTGAAATTTTCAGCCTATTTTGTTTTCATTATCTATTTTATAGCGGAAACTGTCAGCCCTTTATCTACTTTTACCTAAAGCCCCTTTAAAAAATTGAAACTTAAAGCTTTCAAACAGTGCTATCAAGTACTTTTTGTTCTGAAATTAAGTCTTTTTCCGGGAGAGAGAGAGAGAGAGAGAGAGAAGGGGGGGTTGAGGTCCACTCGACACAAACTAGGTCAATTCGGGACTAACACATGGTTCAAATTTATTTCAATAGTTAGCTTGCGCCTAGGTATCTTTAGCAGTGGGAGGAAACCGGAGGATGTGGAGAAACCCCACGAGGTTGGAGACAGGCGACCCTACGACTCAATGACAGACCTTATGATACTGCGCGCACGTTTTTTTCGGAGAGGTAAAAAGGGAAATTTAAACCGGTATTCCCGAAAACCAGTTTTTAAAATGGGCGTGGCCCTAAAAGAGTGTTTTGTAACAGGATAAATCCATGTCCGCGATTGGTGTTAATAATTTAATATAATAATAATATTTTAATCAATTAATGTTTTAATCAGTTATTTTTTTAATATCATAATAAATTAGTCAATCAAAGCAATCAGTATAGTTCAAGATAGTCCTCTTATTCAAATTAACACCAAATTTTAGAATTTATTGTGCAGCTTTACGAATCAAAGAAGCTTACAGGAATGGATTAAACGAATTCGTGCTGATTTCCAGTTCACAGAATCGTGATGAGAAGATAAAACAAAAATGTTAAAAGATAATTAAATAAATATATATGATTGGTGGCTTATTGTATTTATTACAATATGTTTAATATCTTTCTTATGTGGTTTTCCTTTTTTAAAAAAACGAATCGTGTTGCGCATATTGAAAATATATATGTCGAGTTGATCCGAGACATGATGGCGCCGGGTTCAATAGTGTAATAGATGTGTTTATTGTGCAGTTGTATCTTTCTTTGTGCCATTCTTATCCTTATTACAAATGGAGATGATATATTTAAAGTTTAAGAATGGAACAGTTGTAAATTAAATCCCAGGTGTAGATGAACTGATTTGTTTTTAAACAATCGTTGTTGATCCCCATGTACGCGAGATCGTGTGAAATCATGAACAGGTTATTAGAATTATCTAACTCACCCTTTACTTATCATAGAGACTTTACTGATTGCTAACCATTGTGGTGGGGTGGGGTGGGGTCAGAGTGGGTAGCACGTGTGCGTTGAATCATAAGGTCTGCCATTGAGTCAACTGGCGTAGTTTCCATTCCCGGGTTGTACGTCACAAGGGGGGTTATGGTTTTCTCCGGGTCCTCCGGTTTCCTCCCAGTGCTAAAGATCCCTACGCGCAAGCGAATTATTGAAATAAAATTGAACCATAGTGGACAGTAGATAACGTTGGAAGGAGAGGGGGAGAGGGAAAAGAGGGCCCTTGTGGATTGAGAAAGAAAATGGATTATATAAGATATAAAATAAAAGAACCAGGATGTTCGAGACTACAGGGTTTAACTATAATATAATATTAAATTTAATTTCAGTTGAACAGTCTAGTTCATCACCACCATAAACAAAATTGGATTATTTATCCATACAACAACCAATGTTCAACACATGTGTATTAGATTGTTCTATGGATAAAATAACAGATCTGTAGAAACGGCTGATACTGTAACATCGAAATTTTGATAAAGCCCCCTTCACACATAATGCCCCCGTCAGACTGGGATGGCGTCCTTACTGCTCTGCTGCGACCGTTCGGCGACCAGAAAATATGCAAGCTCGCCGAAAAACGTGAACACAACGCGAGAAACTGTCCCAAAAAATTAGAAACTTGAAAAAAGCCGTGTTCTCGCAGCTTTCCGGGTCAGATCGCAAAACCTTGGTGTTTGTTTTGAGCATGTGTAGTGAGAGCGTAACGCTATCTGCTTGCTCGCAGACAGGGAGTGGCAAGGTCTTTGTCAACATATTATGAGCGAGACCATGGGCGTTCTGCCCGCTCTCGGTACGCTATCGCCACGCTTCCGTTACCACAACAACGTCGCTACGCTACGCGGATAGGGCTCATGTTCCATACTCGCGTAAGGAGGTCGTGGTTAATCTTAATCTCCCACGATCCTAACCATGACACCACCAGAAAGAACTCAACACGTCAATGCCGCTCTTAGCCACGATCTGAGTTTTTAAGTCGTAGGGAGGTTATGGTGTATGTGTGAAGGGGATAACAGCTATGAATTGAATTGACAATCAAATTAGACCATACCTGAAGTCAGTGATACTAAAGCGCCACCAAGTATGCACAGAGTTAATGCCCACGTCATATTGCACTGATCTCCTATGGTAAAAAGAGAGAGAAAAAAAATATATTATTCTTTAAACATATATTATGCAAGAGCTAAATCTGCCTATTTCAGGCCTTTCTTTAGGCCTGAAATGTTATCTAAATTATTAATTAGACATTAATTAACCTATCCAGGCCATAATGAACTCTAGATGGCTGCGCTAGCCTGCGATCTTTAGTGGATTGTAAGCCGATTTACTGCATAACTTTCCTTCTCGACTAAACGATTAAATGGATAATCGAGACTATGCTTTTTATCGTACTGACTTTAGTAATGATGACCGGGGCTTATGGGAATTTCAGTCGCTTAGTTCTCGGTTCATAGTTGATCAATTTGAATGAAATTTTCACCAAATTGCCTTCTACATTATCTAGTTTTTAACTATTATAGTGAGAACTGCCAACTCGTTACCGAATCTCCCATAATGTATCTTTAATTAAAACACTTTTCCAATTGTGCCGAAGTATAAAGCAAACAAGTCACATACGATATTATTGTATTGTGTATATTTTGGAAATTTTGACAGTTCTCTAACATTTATCTGATTAAAAATGCTTTATAAGTCACAAAATTGCAAAAGTATCCATTTTTAAAAATTTTGTCATTTACGACATATTTGCTTTAATCCGGCATAATCCAATGAAGTGGACATTTTGTTTTGGACACAATTCAAGTAGTCATTTATACAAAAACTAGTAGTGGTTGGATGGCCGAATGGTTAACTTGTGCGCGTTGAATCATAAGGTCTGTCATTGAGTCAACTGGCGTGGTTTCGATTCCCCGGTTGTACGTGACAAGGAGTAGGGTCGCCTGTCAAACCACTGCTAAAGACCCCTACGCGCAAGCGAATTATTGAAATAAAATTGAACCATATGTTGGTTCCGAAATGACCTAGTTTGTGTCGAGTGGACGTTAAACCCCATTTCCCCTCTCTCTCTCTCTCTCTCCCTCTCTCTCTCTCTCTCTCAAAACTAGTTGGTCATGTCCATCAGTAATATATCAAATGTTGAATTATCGCATCGTCTATATAAGCTAGGGAAATAGCCTTTGACGTAAATCGTATGGAACATTGAAAAACATAATGGAAAAAAGGTGTGATCCCATGAACTATATAATATATATTCACTAATGGAATGGGGATTTGAGTATAATTTGATCGGAAGCTTTATTCTCGTCCATCATCGCTTCTACTTGAGAAATTGTGATGTCGGGTTCCCTAGACCCGGTGATACCGATAACCTACTTCATTTAATAAGATTAGTAAATAAAAGATCCGCGCATCATTGAATGGACATATTTTACTTGGTGCTATGCAATCAATCAAAATTTCCAGATTCTCCTTTAAAGGGACAATAACACTCTTGCTGGCTTGACAGCTCCAGAAAATAAAAAATAGCCTTATTCTAAGTACTAGATGTGTTAGTGTCCTACCTGTTGTATAAATTATCCATTAAATACTATTTTACTTGTCCAGAGGGTTCAAAAATATTTTAAAATCAAAGTCACATTTGAAAAGGCTTACGTTAGGCTTTTCAAATCATTTAGTTGAATTTTTCCAATTTTTTAAATTAGGTGTGTTAAGATGAAATTTGTATCATCAATTAATTGGAATATTGTAAAATAGTACAATTTGTTGACCAGAATAAAGATTGGGACATATTATTCAGTTACAACAAGAGTGGTATTGAGCCTTTAATACGTTAGCGAGCAAATCGCATCAAGCGGAAGTCGACGTACCCTTTCAATTCATATTAACCTAATTACATCTAATAAAATAGCTTGCATGTGAGAGAGAGAGAGAGAGATGGGATTTAACGTCCACTCGATACAAACTAGGTAATTTCGGGACTAACACATGGTTCACTTTTATTTCAATAATTTAGCAATGGGAGGAAACCGGAGGACCCGGGGAAAACCCACGAGGTTGGGCAGGCGACCCTACTCCTTGTCACGTACCGTATAATACAGCGCGCACGTGCTAACCATTCGGCCATCCAACGCCCCACCTGCATGTTAGAGGAATATTGCAATAGGTCTTAGTAATCGTGGTATCTCAGAGAGTAAGACGCTGGATCGCTAACTAGGAGGTCGAAAACGTTTCTCTAAAATTTCCCTTCATCAATGGTGCAGAACCGAGGGCTGGTCCGTCAGTGAAATGGGGTTTAACGTTCTACTGTTCTGCACCGACTGGGCTAATGAAAACGGAGGGTGAAAATGTAAACATTAATGAAACCATCAGAAATAAAAATTTCGGCTTTTACGAAACGAAATGGTTTCAAGTATTAATCGTATAAATTTAGATCATCGACATTTTTCTTTGTTGGAACTTACGTAATGCACAACACACAAAGGACATCTTCATATTACCTCTAGGTAAAGTGACAAAAATTGTCACAAAACCTGAAATGTCGGGTCCTCAAAGAGACATTCACAACAGCTTTAGAGCCTGTATTTTGGTATCTAAATGTGCTTGATGTGATACTGAACAATAAAAAATGAATTTAGAATTTGTAACTTTGATAAATATGATGTAAGTATACCAGTCAACACTGCGCAGCTATAGGGTAAGCAACACAACATGGGAAATCGCAGAGATGTCTGAATATATACACTACAAGACTTCAAAGTTTGAAAACTATCTTTGTTTTAGCACACCAAGTCAATATAATCAAAATATTTGTTTTTTTTCTAATATCCTCCATTTTTTCAAGGCACTACTTTTAGATTTTGTGTATTCACCTGGAATAAATATTTAGGATCTATATGGAAAATAGTAAATACAGCATCAAAATTGCATTGAAACTGCCTTTTTGTTGAGCTATTTTTGCAATGAATACACATTGTTAACATTTTTATGACTCATTAATTAACCCTTCGAAACATTCTGCATGAAAGCATAAATATATCTTACAATTAAACATTGACCTTACGTATTAAGTTTTACAGTAAAAAAAATTCCAAAAATAAATGTTATTCCGTAGTTCAAATTTGTATTTTAGAAATAACACTTTGTTCATTGATATTAAGGCTGGCCCCCGGATCCATTCACTTGATTTGATATTTGTTTATTTTTTACAATGTCTATATTCTGTGTTGTCCGCAAGTTTATCTTTTAGATTTTGTTTTGCGTGTAGTGTGGCCCTCCAGCATTTACTATAAGAGTAAGGTCGAGGATGTTTGAAATTTTAGGAGGAAGCTACGTTATAGAAAAAGATACTCACTTTTAAAAAACCGTGAAATGTTTTATCACTAAAGGGAATACAACATAATTGTGTGTATGGTGAGTCATTTGTTTTTTAAAAAAAAAATGGCGGACCCCCAACCATGTGGTAGCAAGGGCGCGGAAATCTCACACTACATGGAAACAGGAAAGCAACTCAAAAATCTAAGACTCGATTACTGTACTACACTGATCAGAGTAGCAATAGAGAGATAATAGCTGTCCCCAACGTTTATCGTTTTGTCTGTAGGTGTAACCGCGAATGGGCAAGAAGGTGGTGAAATTGTAATTTTCGTTTACGTAATAACCGGGGTATTGACAGTGAAATAGTGTATTGTGAGTAATAGAGTTTATTTTGAACTTTTGTATCCAAGTTCCACTATTCTGTATTGGAAAATATTATGTTCAGTCGTGTTGATATCGAGACTAGTTTGTCCTAAAGATTGTTGATTTGGTAATCAAGTTTAGTTTCTAGATCGTCAAATTAGCCGCCACAGCTGTATGGTTGTTCTGTAGTCTTCGTCAAACGACTGAATTAAAATAAGTTCATCTGACTTTAGTTATAATAAAATAACGGCCTGGAGAATGACAAGAGGACCACAGAATATATAGATTTAATTCCCATGTCATACTTGATGTGATCCGTATGTTTACTCTGGTTTCAATCTATAATCTATAATCTATAAGAATGGAAGATGAGAAATATTTTAATCTATATAATGGCTGTTTATTTGTGGTTTATTAGGTAATGATTAGTCTTAAGTTCAGTGGCCTTGTATGGGTGTTTATTTGTGGTTTATTAGATAATGATTAGTCTTAAGTTTAATAGCCTTATTAATTAAACTCTACTGTCAATAAACATGCGTGGGCTGGTTACCAGGACTCACGAGGGGGCCATGAATATCAAAGTTCAAAATTCAAAAAGGGCAGTTATGCATGAATTTTTTTATTTTTCCTTTAAAGCTTATATAAGTTTGTACGAAAGTTTTCACTTTATCGCAATCTGCTAGTGAATCATCTAGATATGACATGTGTTGGAAGGTGGGGGGGGGGGCAAAAAAGGTCTTGCCCCAGCACAATTTTTCCTCTCAAGGGCCCTGCTGGTTATGTATACATAGTGCAGCCCTTGTGACGTCATTTACCAATCAACTCCATTATGACTGCAATCGAAAAATTATATATTTCGAATAAAATTATATATTTCGAATTTAAAAAATTATATATCGAATATAAATTATATATTTCGAATACAAATTATATATTTCGAATAAAAGTTATATATTTCGAATAAATTTAATCAAATTGGTGTGAGATATACTCTGGCTTCAACAACAAGCTACTTTTATTTGATCTTTTTATTTCTTCTTTAAACTTCATTTCATTTTCATATTTTACATAAATAAGACTTAAATAGACATTATGGTTGATTCGAGAAAGAGTTGACTTCTTGCTATAATAGTTAAGAGAATAGGCTGAAAATTTCAGTCAAATTGCTCCACTCTGAACCGAGATATTAGTGATTGAAGTTTGGGCCTAGTCTCGATCATCATTACTAAAGTCGGTACAATAAAAAAAAACCTGATTATCCATTTTTACGTTTAATTATTTTTTAAAAAATATATTCCAATCCGCTAAATATCACAGCTAGCGATGGCGTCGAGAGTTGATTATGGTCTGGATAAGTTAATTAATGTCTAATTAATAGTGGGGGTGGGGTGGCCGAATGGTTAGCACGCGCGCGCTGTATCATACCGCCTGTCATTGAGTCAACTGGTGGGGTTTGGATACCCCAGTTGGACGTGGCAAGGAGTAGGGTCGCCTGTCCAACCTCGTGGGTTTTCTATGGGTCCTCCGGTTTCCTCCCCAGCTAAAGACTCCTACGCGCAAGAGAATTGAACCATATGTTAGTCCCAAAATGACCTGGTTTGTGCTGATTGCACGTTAAACCCCATTTCTCTCTCTCTCTCTCTCTCTCTCTCTCTCTCTCTCTCTCTCTCATTAATAGCTTACATATCATAAAGACAGACCTGCAATAGGCAGATTTAACTATTGTATAATGTATGGTTAAATAATTATTACAATGTGACGTCATTATTAATGTGACGTCATAATGTATGTTTAATAAAGAGAATATGCTGAGGGGGATATCTAGATAATCTGTGAAATATACGCTAAATATACCCCTGTAAACTAGTGAACTTATCATCTCAAATACCCCACCCCACCATCACCCCATTATTGTTGCAATTCCAGCTATGTTAATTAAACATGTCAATATGAGAGTATTAAACCCTGATCTTTAGAATAATCATATTATTTTATATTAAATGGTGTTATTAATTAATGAACACCTGAAGTGTTTAAATCATAAAAAAAGCGTGAGACAGTTCTTCAGTTAATAAGTCTGGTAATAAGTTATTGATCTCTTCAATTAATTTAATTATCTAATTTATGTAACATTAAACATCTTAAGACTTTATAACTGTTTATCAAGTAAATTTGGTGATATTTTCTACAAATCTTATTAGAAATTCCAATCGTGTAATATTTCATGTTGTTAAGATATATTTAATACGATCAGTTTAAAGGCACTCTGTTGGGATGAAACCCTGTCGACGGTTTTGAATAAATGGCACAGCAAAGGTTAATTACCGTGAAGACATCACCTCTGATGGCCTAGAAATGCGCGTTTCTTACCGTGAGTTCCCTTTTAAATATATTTTCGAGAAACGTAAAACATTAAGATCACGATGCGATTGTCCTGCTATAATAGAACTCATTAAAGATACATTATGGGAGTTTAGATAAAGAGATGGCAGTTCTCGCTATAATATTTATAAACTAGATAGTGTAAAGGTAATTTGCTGAAAATTTCAGTCAAATTGATCCACTATGAGCCGAGAAAGAAGCGGGTGAAATTTTTGCATAGTCTCGGTCATCATTACTAAAATCATTAATATAAACAGCATAGTCTCGATTATCCACTTTTTAAAAATTTAATTATCAATGGCCGTTAGCGGCATATAGAAATCCAATCAAGCCAACATCGAAGGCTAGCCTTGACATCGAGAGTTTATTATGGTCTGAATAAGTTAATTAATGTCTAATTGATAATTTAGATAACATTTCAGGCCTAAAGAAAGACTTGTAATAAGCAGATTTTGCTCTTGCATAATGCATGTTTAAAATTGTATATTATTTCGTTTCGTTTTTGTGGCTCAGATTTTTTACACTTAATAATGAGATCTATCGTGAGAGAGAGGGAGAGAGAGAGAGAGAGAGAGAGAGAGAGACAGAGTTGACTCAATGGCAGGCCTTATGATACAGCGCACACATTCGGCAAACCTCGACAGATTCTACACATCTAATCTCGGCTGTATGACGAATTCCGCCATATTGGAACTATTTTAAAGGTCCCGGATGAAAAATGGCTGCGCCCATGGAGATTTCTGTAGAGAGTGTATTATATCAACAAACGTCAAGTTTGGCATTGGGTTTGGGGAATTACCAGGGAATTATATCAAACCAGCAGTCTTGAGACAATATCTCTGCTCGTTTAGTTATATACACTCGACAAAAAACGCCATTTTGGGACTTTTTTGTAAAAGCGGCACGTTTTCCTGTTAAAGTAAACCGGTAGCCGCATCGCAAATGTATGGGCGTAGGTACATATAAATTACTATCATACAGCCGAGGTTAGATGTAGGGTACCGGAATCTGCCGAGGTTTGCCGAGTGACAGCGCACACACCCCTTTGACGACTGGTGTTCGGACTGCTCACGTGGACTATTTTATGCACGGGACTGAAATCAGTGACACGACTGGAACAGCTGCACGTGCATTGGTTGTTTACAGTTCTCGATTAGAACGCTGATAAAATGACTAATATGTTAAACATACATTATGCAAGAGCTAAATCTGCCTATTGCAGGTCTTTCTTTAGGCCTGAAATGTTATCTTAATTATTAATTAGATATTTATTAACAAAACAAGACCATAATCGACTCTCGGTGGCATCGGATACTCGAGATTTTAACTAGATTAAAACGGTTGGCCATTTAAAAATTTAATTTAAAAATGGGAAAGCGAGGCTAAGTCCAGATTATACCAGTGCACTGGTAACCACTGTGCACACATCTTGTCAAAACTACAAACAATGATAACTTGGCTGAGAATGAAGTAATTTGAATGGAATTTTCAATATTTTCTTTTTTTTATCATCTATTTTTGAATTATTATAGCAAGAATGACCAACTCTTTATTAAACTCTTAACTAATGTATCTTTAAGTAAAAACTGAGTCCGGTCAAATTTATAACACTGAAAATAAAAGGAACGAAAACGAATTGAAAACAGAACCCTGAGTTTGATCAAATGCTATTACAAGTCGACATGACTCCTTTGTAAAGCCCCCATGACCCCATGAAAAAATGTTCTTGATCGAAAATGGGGGATAAAGGATTTCAATGGATTCCTAACTGACCGTGTCTGCTAGACATGACTGTTCATAATATATCACAAGAAACCACTAGCCGAGTCCCTTTAAAACAATAAATAATATAATCGTATTACATTTAAAGAAAATATTGCTGTATGAACCACCTGGTAGGGTGCCCCACCATAAATAAATATCTCAAAATATCTCCACAATTACACCACAATATTTATATATATATATACTAAGCCTTACATCAGTTTCAAACATTTATAGTCACTAAGTAAACGGTCATGTTGTACTTAATAACCTCAATCTGATTAAAATATAGATCTATATTTCGTTTCGGTTTTTTTATACTTTCGATGGCCTCTACTACATGAAGATCTCACAAGTTATAGCGATAGGTCACCTCAGGGGTCAAAAGACCGACTTATGACCCTATGATGTCAGACATTTGATTAACCAATCAACATTGATGTTATTAGTGGATTACCCAGTTCCGTAAAAAAAACACGCCTAAAGCTCGCCGTAACAGACCGTTTCATTGGTGTAGTAAAGACAAGTAAAACGAAATTTTGAACTATAAAAACGAAATGAAATAGGATCTGTGTTTTAACCAGATTGTAATAAGCTATGACCATTTAACCATCCATAAATAATACACTGAAAATGGTTACGAGTGTCGGCCATAACATCGGGAACTTTTGAGTAAAAAATAGGTTACGTGCCCTTGTCTTGAAATTAGTCTCGCTTAACCAGTCTACCGACCATTCTTCATCTGATTGGCAGGTCGGGATAATCAAGACTACATTTTTACGAAACATAACAGAAAGCTGGATTTAGACAAACATGCACGTTAGGCAACTTAACACATGTTTTAACAACCTTCATTTCATTTCCGTTAATAGCCTATGATCTTAATACTTGTCTTCTAATATGGAGACCACGGTAATTGTGTCGACTTTGTACTCACCTCATATTATTAAAACATCCAAGGAATGGCCTTTTTTACTCTTTTAAAATGCATGAAAGCCATTAAAATATTTGCTGGATTCGTAAAATGAAAGTTTTAAAAGCTGTATGGGAGATTTGTTTCATGTCTAATGTGAAGATGTCCGGTGTAAATACATCTAATGATAATGTCATGTAGAAGAATGGGTTGAAATGCAGTGTGGATATCCGTTCATATTAATGACCCTTTTCAACAGAAATTCAGTGGAAACTATTCTTAGCCTTGTGCGGACCCGTCGCACAAAAAACATTATCGGCACCAAGGGTTAATCTAAGACCCCACATATAAATTCGTTTTTGTAGGCAAAATTTTATTCAAATACGATCAAACTACAGCTTCATATAAATACTGAATAATAATCAATCAGAGTAAAAAAAAAAAATTGAGGTATTAACAGTGACGATATGAATTATAAGGTATTTTTGAAAGCATACAAATCTACAAATAACGTAATTGTCATCCCCATGTAGAACCGTCTTTTGATGGGGGTTGGTAGAGTACCTAGATTTGCTTTCAGATCTAGATTACTAGAATGATCAACACAATATCATCAGTAAGAATGATTCTACAAACAAAGCTAGCACTGAGCGCAGAAGAAATTAGACACTTATAACCAGCAAAATGTTGAAAGGAAACGGGAGGTGGGGTCCAGAAGACCCCTTGGGTACCGACAATGTGATACTCGTGGTTTCTTGTCAAATGATGAATGTTGCCACTGCCTGACTTCCGATCTGTTTGCAGCATTATATTAAGTAGCTGACACTGTATTAAATTCTCGCTAGACAATTATGAACCAGTTCCTCACAAAGGTGAAGGATATGGTCATGGGGTCCCGAAATACCCTTTGTATACGCACAATGGTTAATGTTACAGGGTGAAAGAGGTCACGTTAGACAACCAGAGAAGGGTCTCTCTATTTTCTAATATAGTAATACTGTTGCTAGAATAAATTAATGTCCAATCCAGATAGTTTTCTACTTGAAATTATGTTATATTAAGACCAATCTATTTTAATATTACATCTGCAGTTAATGCATGTAATTTGTCATCGAGAAAATAGTTTAGGTTGTGAGCTGTCAGTGACCTAATTATTTCCCGTCTTGTTTTTCATCCTCTTCTCAACCGAACTATATTTTAGGGGATTGTTCAATACGAAACGTCTGTATAATTGTGTATATAAAGTTTAATGAACGATTTCATATCTGACGTCATTCCTTTCATAAATGTCCCTTGCCAGCACCATCCCTACCCCTTGTCCCGTGCCACCACCACCCTTACCCCTACGGAGGAAAATAATAAATACTTACTAGGTTGAATAGGTGTATCTATATTAACAGATTATTAAATGTGTAGTTATATTTGAAGAATATCTGTGGTCTGGGAGTAGAACAGCTGTAAGATAACGAACTATGTACCGTATATTACAGTTCTATGCTTATCATGATCCTTAAATGATTCATAAAATTCGCGAGGAATCAATTCAGTGTTGTAGATTTTTCCGATTCAAAACAATTACTGATTAGCTTTTTCAAAAACGCATTTTTAGCTCCATAAAACGTTTTTTGCCGAAAAAATCAATTTCTTGCAACCGCAGTTTATCGTCTCTTCCATACGTGCTAGGTATTAGTATTCTACGCATCCTGGCAAATTTTTTTATTTCTTATTTAGAACACGGGTACAGTGCCCGCCAAACTAGTCTGCTTAGGGGCGTGTCATGACTAATATCAGTTGTCATGGAAACGGGATCAATGTCAGGTGGGGCGACCGAGATTATGCACAAGAAATGTTAGATTTAAGGTCGGTCTAGTCGGAAGTCCCGGGTTCCATCCTGGTGTTGGGTGTTAACGATGTTACTTCTTCTTGTTTGTGCTGCATGACAGAGGGGCTGGCAAGGAACAGCGTCTGGTCTTTCGGTTGGGCGAAAATCAGAGATCCCGCGGATCTAGAAGTCGTGAATAGGGCGGGGGTCCAAATCTAGGGCGCCACCCGTAATCCCACCCCACAATGAATGTCAACAAAATACTGAGCGCCCCGCTAAAACATAGATGGTATTGCCTCAATAGTTGTTCGCCGATCGCCGAAAAGCAGTTTTATTCAATAAAGTTCATGTCATATGATGATTGCTGTTGATTTTGTTATTGATTTTTGTCAACCTTAGAGAAATGACTATAACACTGACCAATCTGAGAGGGGCGGGTTCTTCCTCTGAGAAAATTTTGAAAAGTCAATGTCCTGGCTATAGAGGTCATTGCTGGGAGCAAATTCTTGTGAACAAGAGGATCAGAAATGGGAGCCAATGGGACAGAATCTTGATATCTGTCTGCCAATGCCGCCTGGGCATAACCGTGAGTGGAAGAATGCTGATATAATGGAATCGAGCTCCGTAGGCGCGAAAACATTTCAGATAAACTGCGTATAATGTTTATGTAACTGAGTTTTTAGCACCGTCGTAGGCGCAAAACAATTTCAAATAATATGTAATTTGGGATTGGGTCTGAGGGGGCGTTTACTTCTTGGTCATTCGCACCAATCACAGTATGAATATGATGAATACGTTTAAGCTAATGCAGTCAATATATGTCATGATACCTTGGTATTTTCATAAATAAAAAGTAAAAGATTTTTAATAAATTTATTTTTAATAACATTGATCAGTGATATTTTATATATAACGTATAACAACAACAATTAGTCTTAAAGACGATAACATCACATATTTATTACACAATCGGTATTCATCGATATATTCCGGTAATTCTCGGGATGTTTGAATCTATCAGTATGGCTGTACATGTATATATTTATAGAGAGAGAGAGAGAGAAAGAGAGAGAGAAATGGGGTTTAAGGTCCACTCGACACAAACTAGGTCATTTCGGGACTAACATATGGTTTATTTTTATTTCAATAATTCGCTTGCGCGTAGGGGTCTTTAGCAGTGGGAGGAAACCGGAGGACCCGGAGAAAACCCACGAGATTGGACAGGCGACCCTAAGCCTTGTCACGTACAACCGGGGATTCGAAACCACGCCAGTCGACTCAATGACAGACTTTATGATACAGCGCGCGCACGCTAACCATTCAGCCATCCAACCCCCCTCGGGATGTTTGAATCTTACATGTATATATTTATATGTCCAAGAGGAAAAGTAACATATCATATTCTATCATATAGTGTTTTTGAGAGCATTCTTTGTGCTAGAGTTTTCTAAGCAGAGGAAGTCTGATGTCATCGCCAACCATTCTCTTTAGCGTCGATGGTACTATAGTTCACGAGGCAGGGCATGCTTAATACTTTTCATTTGAGGAGTTCATATAGTTAAAACACATTTAAAGTAATGCTGTATCACCACCACTTTCTGCCTTGCAACGTTCAAATTTACTTTCATAAGATATCTAACCGATAGAATAATTGCGTCCTAAGGGATTCTCGTAGCTTTCGGAACTCCATTCAAATCTCCATTAAATGACGTCATTTCCGGAAATTAACATGCAGGCTAGCTTGCTCAACTTCCGGTTATGCTAGCTCTTTGTACCTTTCATAATAAATATATTTACAGATTTAAAATACAGTCTAAATATAAGTTCATCTTTAAGGTTTACTTTGAAAAGTCAAAATATTATTATGTTATGTATTTAATTTGTAGAAAAAAACACACCATGAATTCATGCAATTGAATTTACAATGTATACTATCGGCGTTTGTTTAAAATCTGTATTACCATGACGTTATTTCTGGAAATTAAGTAAGATATATGTCCTGGGAATGATTTTGACATTTATTTGTAACATGACATTGTGTGATTTCAGAATGGCTCTTTTGTGATATGCGCACTGAAGGTTGTAAGATCGATTTCAGAATCAATTTGTAAGGTTGTAGGGGGGATGGTGTTATTGTATGTAACATTAAATTCAAAATTGATTCTAGATGCCTACATCGTTCCTATGCTATAATTCTAAACCTTTCACAATTTGATTGGCGCGATCTTATGACTGTGCTGCAAGTGTGAATTGATCTGGTGCAATTGCCATTCTAATTTAATGGCAGCTGGTGGAACATTGACAATATGGCGTCATACAGTATACGTTAGACCATTAGTTCAAAAAAATTATATACCCTATAATCAGTTAATAAGTTAAAAGGTCATTGTTTATTTACGCTAAAATATTCTTGAAAGCAAGAATCATTAACGTATTTTCCCTAACATCCAGCATTACCACAATACCCTCATTGATGATGGATGGTATTTGTATTTTGTGGAATTTGTAAAATAATTGAAAGAAACCTACTGTTCGGTGCTATTATTGAATTACTTATAGTTTATTAAACTAATTGTGTATGGTGTACGGTACACCGACTAAAAGCTTTCACACCACGAACTTAGATATTTTTTTTTTTATAAAACTTCACATCACTGCCAAACTTAACGGTATTGTTGTTTATACTTCATTTAGCGGCTGGGAAGTGAGAGTGACAGAGAGAAAGAGAGAGGGAGGGGGGATAGGGAGAAGGGGGGAGGGGGTAATGTCCACTCTACACAAACTAGGTCATTTAGGGACTAACATATGGTTCAATTTTATTTCTATAATTCGCTTGCGCGTAGGGGTCTTTAGCAGTGCGAGGAAACTGGAGTATCCGGGGAAAACTCACGAAGTTGAACAAGCGACCTTACTCCTTGTCACGAACTTTAGCCTGTAATGTACACATTATTTTAGATACACTGCAAATATTTTTGGACATTGAATATCACGTTTTATTACACATTAATCTACAGGTGATATCGATATTAAGCGATATTAATCGAAGCGGTTATTGTATGTATGATATTAAACGATATACACCGACATATATTTGGCAATATCGTTTCAACATATATTTCAATTTTGTTTAAAAATTATTTTTGGTAATACATGTATATGAATTAACATATTCGTTATTTGTTGATATCAAGTAATTCGATATTCGTCGAGCATGAATGTAGTTTCATCGACTTGGTATCACAAAAGACTCGTATGTAATTTTGTACACAGCTAAATGTTTTATTCGTATTTTCACTTTGTCCACAAGGCCTAATGTTCAATCACACAGTGGCTTAATGTTTGATATACAAATTTAAGAGCCGCCGAGCTTCTGGACGATCTTGATTCATTAAGAGAGACCATAAGAACGAGTAGTCCATATCTACCAGAAACCGTTTACGGATCTGTCTTTTGGGTTTGCCATCGTCGGAATTGTCCGGAAGATTGGAACTTTTGGGTGTTTGAGACGCGGCCACCGATGAGTCGCGTTTGTTCCAGTTCATGTTCCAGTGACGTCTCATGATGTTTGATAAGTTATCAGCGCCTCCTTTCACCCGAGACCAAATGTAATTGGAGTTCTTCCATCGACCAATGAAACGCTTTGCTCGGGAATTGGCTTTATCCGTGACGACATTGTCCGTGTTATCCCGTTTAGACCACGTGATGCCTCGATGTTTATTAATAATGTCTGATTTGTCGTTCTTGTTTGCACTTGCCAATAACTTCATCATATGATCTGAATTACGCCATCGTCCGTAAAATCTTTTAGCCATGTCTTCGGGTTCCTCTTCTGGGAAGCGTTTTGTCCACACTAATCCACGCTGTTGATCTATAACAGAATTCTGGTCAGATTTGCTTAATCCCTTTAATGATTTCCACAACTGATTTGAATTCCGCCATCTTCCAAAATGGCGCTTAGCATTATTCAGATAGTCATTTTCAGATTTTTCGTTCGCTTGAAGATTGTTTAAAAGATATGCAAAGTTGTCCTGTGCACCGTGTTCATTTGTGAAACGCTTCGGTCCGGTTGTGGGGCTTTTATCGTCCAATTCCAGCTTAACCCCATCATTTAGTTGATTTTGATGTTTCCATATGTGGTTGGAACTTTTCCATCGACCAAGGAAGCGCTTTACTTCGTGCAGGTCAGTCTTGTCTTCTTCTTGCATTAAATCAGCGGTACTCTCTGACACATCCTGAAAAATTAAAGAGGCAATTTCATTAATATGTTGAGCGATTTATTGCCGATTCACAAGACTGGACCCAGGTTGGTAGAAATAAAGATTTCAGTGACCCTGGGTCAGCATACTCTGTAGCCACATATGTTAAGGAAATAAAATTATTTATGTAAATATTTGATTAAATTATAACATGAGACGTGTAAAGGGTGAAGTTTTATTTACTCTTTCTTGATAATCTGATTAAAATAAAGATCTTATTGCGTTTCGTTTTTTATATTTCAAAATTTCGTTTTATTTGTCTGTACTACTCTAGACTGTAGGATCTGGAAGAGTTGTTATATAACTTGCGTGAAGGATTAGCCAATGAAACCATCCGTTACGGCGACTTCTTGGCGTGCGATGCACGGAACTGTGGGTAAACCACTAGAAACGTCAACGCTGATTGATCAATTAATGTCTGTCGTCATTGGGTCAAAAGGCACCCGGTCAGATCTTCATGTAGTGTGAGCCATCGAAAGTATAAAAAAAACGAAACGAAATATAGAGCTGTACTTTAATCAGATTGCCTTTCTCCACCCTAAACCGAATCAATGAACTGTCGCCCCTAATGATCCTCGGAGTTATCATAAAGATGCAGGCTAATACTACATTCTATTTAAGGGATTTCTGATCCTCTCGCCTTTATAGCCGCGCTTATTGATGAACTAATTCCCGGCGGTTTCCCTTGGTCCATAAAAGAGGTTGTATTAACCAACTTTCTTTCACCAAAGGCTCCCCGATAACTAAAAGAATTCCTTAATTACTACACGTATTAAAATATTAATTAGAGATCCACCCCATCTGTACACGCATACTTAACTTCAAAGAAAAGATGAGACTAATGATGAATTTTCTCCTTTGAATTAAGTTCAATGTTTTGATTTCTGTTTCATTGTCTAAGAACTTACACGAAACGACTAACCATTAATTCCTTAAACATCCAGACAATAACTTTGTATGCCAACAAGGAAATATTTTTGCCAGATCAGAGTTAGACTAATTAATGTCTATTTGGAACGTGGAATCCTGATAATAAACAACAGATCTGAAGTTAATTTTAACTGTGATGACTGTTCCTTATCTCTATCGTGATAATAACCACGGAAGTTCCAGATGTTAAGAAACTCTTCGAGACAATCAAATATATTTTGATTAGTCTCTTTAGTTAAAATGTCCTGCTGTACATGGTATTTATAACAGTATACAGAAAAACAAGCCAAGTCTCTCAACAGAAATTACGGCAAGCATAAGAGACGAATTCATCAAGTTTTTGTTAGAGTTATAACCATTGATGAACAATACATAAAAGTCAAAATTTGTAGGTAACATTTCTTTGGCTAGGTTCATCGCTTTAGTTCGGGTGTGGGCGATGGGTATTCAACTAAAACGAACTTAATTCTATAGCAGAAAATAATAGTTATAAACGATTATTTTCAGATCACAAATTTCAATTAACAAACGATTATCCGTAACAATGCAAGACAATTCATCCACACAATGGGCGAAGTTACATCGTTAATTGTAACAGTTTGTCAGATCGGCTTGCTTGTAATTATGTGGGGTATTTTCTCTTTGAAGTAAATGAATGCACTGACTTGTTCAATTACACACCCACGGGTATCCAATACACTATTATTCAACACGATACGCACTTAGTCATTATAAAGCAAACCTTTTATTAACGGGACATTAGGCTCATATCCATATAACTTGGTATTTGGTAACATTAATTCTTTGGAATATTTTGACAGAAAAAACAAAATATGATAATCCGCGGGATAGTCTGACCGAACTTAATGAGATCACAGAAATAAGTAAGAGGAAGTAGGTCTCGGTAATGGACGACAAAAATCCATTTATTAAATCTACATTATGGTGCGATCGACGGTTTTTTAAAAAAATCTTCCTTAATAAATATGTGACAATTCACGCAAAATCGCCCGTGAATGATATATGGATGATGCGATATTTTCATGACTGTAATGGTTTAATCAGCACTCAGGGGGTATTTCTGTTAATGTTATAGATGCATGTAAAATGTAAATTAAAATTGTTGATTATAGAGCACGTTATAAATCTTTAGAAGGAAGTCTTCTGACTTCATCCTCTTGGAGTCAGATGGTAAGAGAAGGAGAGCCGTGCCACACATAAATAATCAAAAACACAGCAGACAACCCGTTGAACAAAACACATTACAAATACGTTTTATCAAGTAAAGTGAAGGGATGAGGAAGTTCCAGAAAGCGTCCACTGTGCTTTGCTGTCGCGGGTGCTTAAGGACATTTTGCTAGTAATCGAGTTCAATAAATACATTACCGTCACAAACGTGTGTGGGTGTGTGTGTGTGTGGGGGGGGGGGGGTGTCTGCTTGGCAATCGCGTACCACCCAAGCCATACCCTGTCCATTTCTTCGTGCTCTATCCGACTTTCACTTTTTTACATAGAAATGCTCCTGGACACGGCTCATCTAAATTAGGCCATATGGTTATTATTAAAACGACGCTGTGATTTGTCGAAAATATCATACTTCGACGAGCAAACAACGAATCCTGAAATTGTAGCGTCCCGTGGTAATGGGAGCCGCGGTGGCTAAGTGGGTAAGATGCTGGCTCGCTAGTCTGGAGGTCGCCTTTTCGATCCCTGCATTGGCCAAGATAGTTCATCGGGATTTTCCGATGTGGTTTCCCCTTGTCAGTGGCGCAGGACCGAGGGCCTGACAAGAACAACTGTCTTTCTAGTCGTTCGGATGGGACGAAAAAACCGAGGTCCCGTGTTCACATTGACGTGCACGTAAAAGACCCCTTGGCAGTAGACATTTGATATAAGAGTTGGTAGTAGTGCCGCTGTCCGGACAATATTTCCCTCATGGTATATGCCCGTCTTCATTGGCCCAATCGGAGCCAAGCAGTAGGACGTTAAAACCCATTTCATTCATTCATACCAAGATATTAATAGTAACCTGAATTTCACTGATGTTAGCTTTGTATCTAATGCTTTTAATGGATGGATGTCCCAATTTGATTAAAACACAGATCCTATTTCGTTTCGTTTTTATAGTTCAAAATTTCGTATTACTTGTCTTTACGACACTAGCATCTGGAAGAGTTGTTATCATTGTCGCGTTCTGGAGGGCTTTTGGCGTTAGCTGCACAGAACTGTGGGTAATCCACTAGAAACATCAATGCCGATTGGTTAATAAAATATCTGACGTCATAGGGTCAAAAGCCGCTCGTATGACCTCTGACGCTACCCCCCCCCCCCCCAAAAAAAACCCAAAACAACTGGTCAGATCTTCAAAAGTATAAATATAACGAAACGAAATATAGATTTGTATTTTAATCAGATTGATGGAGAGAGAGAACGTGAGAGAGAGAGAAGAGAGAGGGAGAGAGAGGGAGGGAGAGAGAGAGAGAAGAGAGAGGGAGGGAGAGAGAGAGAAGAGAGAGAGAGAGAGAGAGATGGGGTTTAACGTCCACTCGACACAAACTAGGTCATTTCGGGACTAACATATGGTTTTATTTTATTTCAATAATTCGCTTGCGCGTAGGGGTCTTTAGCAGTGGGAGGAAACCGGAGGACCCGGAGAAAACCCACGAGGTTGGAGAGGCGACCCTACTCCTTCTCACGTACAACCGGGGATTCGAAACCACGCCAGTCGACTCAATGACAGACTTTATGATACAGCGCGCGCACGCTAACCATTCAGCCATCCAACCCCCCTCATATTGATGGGTGTCCATCATGTGTTTAGTTATGGTGCCTATGTCAAGCATAATAAGAAATATCTTGGGTCCAATAAATTACAGGCCTAATAAAACCTAAAAGATGAAAGATTGAATTGCGCCACATAAAATATAGAACTTCACTCTCAAACATTTAAACATTGATCTAGGGAATCATTAAAAACGCCTGTACCTCGATAACGTTTTTTTTTTATGTCTTGGGAAGATCGTATTCAATAACTGTCATAATAGACGACAACTTGACATCCATATATCTGTCTTTACATTCCCCTCAATTTATCGCATGATTCGCTCAAGGTACCTAGAAGAAATGTTAGAGTATGGCGTCTAGCTAATTTGATCATGATATTGATCTAACAGTCAAATTTCTTCTCTCTGCATGGATAATAGATTGATGTAAAGATTTGTGAACATGGACAATAAATAGAAAGCCTAAAGCTGTAAATTCTAATACTCTATATTGAATATTTCTTTAACGTTTCTGTGTAAACTAATTTTGTGGGCTAAAATCATTTATTAGTACGCTATGAGGGTTGGGTGTCTTGGGGATATCAATAGGTCAGGGCTCAGGTATTTTAATCTCTTTTAGGCTACAGGGCACTAGGTTTAATATCCGTCCGTAGAGTCGTCACGACTTCTTGTATCAAAGTTTTAAGAAGAAATGGACGGTGTTGAAAAAAGCAACGAAAGCAACAGAACACGGGCAACTATAGCTTAGATTAAGCACCAATATAAAATTACAAGCTAAGATGGTTATCTTTAGCTATATGGCCTTCTTAATTGAGTAGCTTGTGTTCGAGGAAGAGTATACATATCCTGCCTATTGACGACAAGTCGTAGTCGTAGTCGTAGTCATCTCTTAACCCCCACGTTAATCAAGTTGAACAAGGAAACGCATCTAGGTGTTCGCGAAGGACGTTGGAAATTATGTAGGACAGCTGTTAGGGTGGGACGTGTCGCAACTGTTAGGGTGGGACGTGTCTCAGCTGTTTGGGTGGAACGTGTCGCAGCTGTTAGGCCGGAGCGTATCGCAGCTGTTAGGGTGGGGCGTATCGCAGCTGTAAGGGGGGAGGGGGGTTATCGTCCACACGACAGACCTTATGATCTTCCTGATGAATCTCATCTATCAATAGCCACCCTGTTATTTAACCCCGTATAGAAAAAGGTAAATCCCTTAATGATGAATCTCAATCTATCAATAGTCACCCCGTTAATTCATTATATTCATTCTACTTGTTTAAATATATGATAATGACACGGTGTACAATCAGAGAACTACTTAAATCTATGAAATCCTGGTCCATTGTTAAAGTGTAGATCAAAACATAGGTTATTAATGAGCTGAAGATTTTAACACGTCAACAGCACAATTCCAAGGATGGCAATTACTGCCTATTACTGGGCATTTCTAGATAATGACTAGAGAAGCCTAGTCGAAACGTCGCACAATAACAAGCATTAATTGTATTCCATAGAATTATCACCTGTATATTCCAGTTCAATTACTTAATGTCAATTTAACAGGGTGTGTTAACGACCAAGATTTTGTATGGTGAACTGAAACTAAACAAGGCTTCCTATTTCATTGATAATTTTCCCTCTGTTATTGACAGTAGTACTATAAGTAGCGTGATCAATTTCAGTTTTATATATGTATCTATATTTTATAGTTTAATTGCGAGTCATGGTGTTGAAACTATCGGTTTGAAGGGTAATTTGTTGAAAATTAGTTGGTTGTTTTATGTCGTGGTTCTGGCAACAGTTATACATATTAAAACTATGCAAACCGTTAAAATACTACCCATAATAATCACTAATCATTGAGTTTCTTTATTTAGCATTTGGATATAATGATATTAGTGACGTTCCACAGGCAGTAACAACTCCGAACTACCAAGTCTTGTTGTGCTGACGTCATCACTCCGTGTGCTGCCATTGTCATAAGCGGCGTTCGTTTCGTCCATTTTCTACGAAGATATCGGGAAAAGTTCGTGGTTAAAAAACAAGGTACGAAGTCGTGATTTTCTCGCTGATACGTACTTCGTACTGGTTGCGATACCTCTCTATTAGTGACGTTTCACACTAATGTCTATTGCTAGAGAACTAATAAGTTACAAATGGGTATTTCGTAAGCACATTCTACACCTGGTGTGCATCTTAGATAATCAATTAGTGACATTAATTCCTATTAGTGAAAGGTTAATGTTCACTGTTAATAAATATTGAAATTATAGTGTCTGGTGTTTTATCTGACCTTTAATCGGTGTTGAGAGGAGACGTCCTACTTAAAGTTTCATTTTAATGAATACATTACAATTTTACAATAAACTGCAAATAACATACTTTTAAAATATACACAATAAAACGTTGTCTAACTAGAAAGAATATTGTTCTAAAAAATTAGAAAGTTGGGTCATTTAAAGTTCAAGTCAGTACATTTAATTTCTAGTTATCGTCTTTCGACGTCTGAACAATAAATCATTTCTATCCACTATTATCGCCATTTTTTTGTTTTAATAATTCAAATTACTGCTTAAAGAATTATAAGTTCAAACCTAAATTAAGAAAACGGTAATGGGTCTTCTGCAATATTGAGATTTTATATGACAATATTCTACGACTTGCAGGTCGAATCTTTACGACCAACGGTTGTAGGTTCTCGTGTTTCTGTTGAGGTTATACTTGTGATTTTACCTGAGGAAGGGTGTTTACCTGAGGAAGGGTATTTACCTGAGGTAGGGTATTTACCTGTAATACTCTTCGGAGAAATCCTAAGCCTCTGATAATTCATGTACAATCGACATGAAATTGGGCATGCGTGTTCCTTACACAAATGTGCATCGATTGACGGATTTAATTTTTGATGTGAGGTGGATGGAATGACGTCATGGACGGTTCCTGGTCCAGAGACGCTCGTGGTAGTTACTTTCAAATTTGAGACTCAAAATAACTTTAGAGGTTGCAAATAGAAAATATAGTTTGTAACGTGACGTGGATGTTATTATCCAGTCGTATACGACATGATTCGAAAACATATCAATATTCGGTCAAATTATATTATTAAATTTCGATTTGTTCCATTTTGTAATTTTCTTTGCCGGTATAAATGTCTTTCAATTCTAGATAAATAAGCTTCTTAGTATCGCATTCCCCGCAGAGAAATTGATTAACTTTATTTAAAAGGGAAGACAAACGCTAATGACATTTTAACCGATTAAATACCGCTACATAACAATGAAACGAAGCGAAAGATGCCAGGAGAAAGTAAAACTAGGATTAATGGTTATTTAAACTAATATGAAACTGTGACAACTAGTTTAAGGTGTTGGCTAAAGAAGTGTGTAGAATTTCAAACTCGGAAATGTCTTTAAGAGCGTGGATCTGTGAATTATACTACACAGTTTGATGGACGGTGACAAGATGGATGGGAACACTCTAAAAACCCACTTTATTCTCTAGAAAATTTCAATAAATAATTATTCAACCGACTTCTCAGAAAATAAATGATTTTAAACACCAAAGTTGGGATCTGTGTCAAAGGACTTTTAACTAACTTTTAAATTATATGGAAAGAACTTGCACGAACATTTTTATATGTAAATACTCCACGGGTCCAGCTATGTAGTTTTTACTACGAGAGCTTCGCTTTTCCACATTAAATAGCGGATTCTTTGGCCCACAGGGTTTTTTCAATCCGCTGCGATGGCATCATTCAGCTGAACCTCCTGTTTTAACGTGTTTTCATTTTGACAACGTGAGAAGATGACCCTCCCTCTCTTCTCACGACAGCGATTTTAAAACTGCGTTTTAAAGTGACTTTTTGATATACAAGAACTTTTTATTTTTAGTATTTTTACCTATCCTCTATATATTAGTCCTTCATATGTAAATAACGGGCCTGTTTCACGAAATTTTAACTAAGATAAAATCCAGATTTTAGTAATTTGATTGGATAATATAAGATTGATTTTAGTGCGTAGCCAATCAAAATTGAAGTAACTATTAAAATTTGGATTTTATCTTTAGTTGAGATTTCGAGAAACAGGGTCCTGTCCATAATATCATGCATTATGTATTGGACGTTAAATCTATTCTACCTCGGATTCGCCCATAACTTAGTGTATTTCCCAAACATTAAAGAAATTGTGTAAATAAACAGTTCTTCCACAGACTCCAAAAATGGAATTCAGTATAGGAGGTGTGTGTGTGTGTGGGGGGGGGGGGGGTATGGGAAAACCAGTTCGCGCGCCATTAACATTTTATATAACACCTTTTAAAAAGTCAAACATTAAGAAATACAGATTAATAACTAACGGGACTCAAATTATTCAGGTTAAAACAAATTAAAGGAATAAATGACAAACCTTAGCGTGAGTTGCAATTAAACCTACGCCCTTAAATACTGATTACTTTAGGTACGCACTTAAATATATATATATATATACTGATTACTTTACGTATACTGTTCCGTGCCATGTCTTAATAAATAAATCTTCTCATAGATCAGTGACTTTATAATATAAATATATGGAAAGGTTAGCAATGTGTTGGTGTGATTTTTATTGGCTGTCTATAGTACACAAGTATGAAAACCACATGGTTCACTCCCATTTCAATTACAAATTTTATTACTCCCAAAATCCTGGCCCCAACTAATCAGCATAAAACTGTTAATGTACTGATTATTGTTAAAATAGATCATTCATTATATATTATAGCTTATCTTTAACATCAAAGAAAAATTTGTGTTTTGACAAATATTTGTAATATTTGGAGATTACTTTGAGTTTAATACTTGCTTAACTTTATGAGAAGAATTGTTTCAAATTTTGTACATTCCCTCTTTGAGTTCACTATCATTCAACCAAAACTGTATTTATCTTTTTAGAATTCCTTTATAATAAATATTGTGTTTATTTTCAATTTCTGGACTTCGGAAGTAAAAATATTATTTATATTTATTCAATTATTGACGATGTTTTATGCATAAGCCGCAAGTCTTACTGGGTGGATATTTGTATAGAAAATATGAGCGCGGTGAATATATTCATTGGAAGTGTCTAACGGAAACTTAAACTGGAAAATGTACCACAATTGATATATACATTCGAAATGTTTTAATCCACATCCCTTACAAACTTGCCATATCCAATAAAATATATTTTACGAGTTTTAATTCGAAAGAATACGGAAAACTAACTAAAAAGCAAATGCTCTATAACCGATTTAAACATAAACAACTGACAGAAAAATATAAACTATTAGTTTTAGAACCCATCTAACGTGAAGACGTTTCTCCGTGCACCGTCCTGTAATTCTGACAAGGGGAAACCAGGATTACAAATCACGAGGAACGTTTTCCGCCAACACCTGGATCGTGGCCCGGTAACTCCTGGTCAGTAAGCCGGTCGACCCCCCACCCCCACCGCATTCCCCCTGTCCAAGCCAAATACGTTATGAAGATCGTCATGTAATAAGGAAATCACAGAGTTGGCCATTTTGGTCACTTTTCAAATTATTAATAAAGCAATAAAACAAAAACCTACCTTTCCATAGCAAACTAAGGTGCAAACGAATAATACAACCAAGGCAGCGGCAGTGAGCATGATGACTTGTTTTTACAAACTAGGCCTAACTCCTGAAGTAAAGTACATATAAAGACGACTGTTAGAGTGGACACAGAACTCCAGTTTCAAACGGTTTAACAAGACCCACCACGGTGCTTCTATACTGTGACGCAAGCTAGCTTAACGTCTCTTGTCAAACTGAAGAGATGGTTTGTGTACAGTGTTTAAAAACCTTTATCTCTCTGCCCACGGTTTTCTTTCTATCCTGGCACATGAGTTACAATTGGTCAGTCCGTATGATTAGTGCTTAATCTTCCTGTAATACAGTATTCACTCGTCTACAAAGGAAGCTGTCAGATATTATTTAATACAGTAACCTGCGAGCTAGTCATGAAAGTGATATATGTATTAAACACTAAGCCATAATCCAATTACTTTGAAACGAAAGTCCCATTTAATCTGTTAAAGGGAAATCAATAAATTAATCAGTTTCAGAAAAGCCCTCTCCTAATAACTTAATAATTTTTGACAAGGCATTTGTGCACGCGTGACAAAAAAACAATCTTTTCATTGTTTGTTTAATGGAAGAAGGCTAAAACCACTGATCACCTTCTGGGAGTGCTATTTTTCATTACGGCTAAAATGTACACAAATTGATATTTTCTAAGTTAAACAAACATTATGCAAGAGCTAAATCTGACTATTGCAGGTCTTTCTTTAGGCCTGAAATGTTATCTAAATTATTAATTAGACCATAATTAACTTATCCAGATCATAATCAACTCTTGATGCTATCGCTAGCCTGCGATATTAACTGGATGATTTCACGTCGAACTGGATAATCGAGCCTTTGTTATTTATTGTACCGACTTTAGTAATGATGATCGAAGCAAGGCCTAAAAATTCAATCGCTAATATCTCGGTTCAGAGTGGAGCAATTTGACCGAAATTTTCAGTATATTCTCATTACGTTGTCTAATTTTTGTTTAAACTATTATATCGATAACTGTTAACTCTTTATCTAATCTCCTATAATGCCTCCTTAAGAAAATAAAATGAAAATATTAACAGTGTAGATATTTGAATTAAAGGAGGTCAACACTTATAGGGTGACAAAGAAATTTTTTTGCGAGTGTTACACTACTCTGGGTGTAATGTAAAATTGTAGATGTTTTTGGTTCGTTGGAGAAAGTCATACTGTCCATTAATTTGTTTGTGGTGATTCACGTTTACGGTAAGCTTCAAAATGTTTACAGATTCCGTGTCTGTGGAAATCTATTCTTTTTTTGTGAATTCAAATGGTTTACAGCGAGATGAAATTAAAAAAAAAACTCTTGATGAAATACCAGAATACACCGAATGTCAACACCCACACAAACGTGTGCGCAGGAATCTTTACCAGGGGCTGGAAACTGAAGACCTGGTAGAGACCCCAATTCTAGAAGTGTTCATCTGATTAAAACACAGAACCTATTTCGTTTCGTTTTTTATAGTTTAAAATTTCGTTTTATTTGTCTGTACTACACTAGGATCTGGAAGAGTTGTTATAACCTGCGTTCTGGATGATGTGAGGAATTAGCCAATGAAACGGTCTGTTACGGCGATTTATTGGCGTGACATGCACGGAACTGTGGGTAAACCACTAGAAACGTCAACGCTGATTGATTAATCAACGTCTGACGTCCTAGGGTTAAAAGCCACTCATATGACCCCTGACACGACCTTCCAGTAAAATTGGTCAGACCTTCATGTAGTTTAGGCTATCGAAGGATATAAAAAAACGAAATGAAATATAGATCTGCATTTTAATTAGATTGTAGACGTATGGAATCAAAACTGAAAACTTTGATGACAAACCTTGTGATCTGAAGTGTTGAAACCTTCGATGCTTCCCCGCCCCAAATCCACGTGTAAATACGCTGTTGCTTTCCGGTTTTATATTAGTAATTTTCCAGGTATTGTTAATCATATTTGTCGTTCCTCTTTTAACTTTAGTATCGGTTATATTTTACTAAACCCGAAACACGTGTCATTAAATAATAATCGACTCGTATCTCACTCCAAAGATTTAGTTTTACTTTGCCCTACATTAAATATAATACATTATCCTGGTTGATTCCATGGTGCTGGTGGGCTTTATTATGGAAAACAACCTGTTTATCCTGTTACAAGCCAGTCAGGAAGGAAAATCGACCCACCACAAATATGTGATAATGGATATTTCATTTGTGGATTTTTTTTAAAAAAAAGGATTCTTCGATAATGTCACTTCCTAGCTATAGTGCAAAAGGTTGAACAATGTCAAATCAGATCTGGCATCCATCATTACTCCCATACATTGGTTCATCACACACTAAAGTGCTAATATTTAATTTCTATCCTATCTTTTTTCTAAAACTGTTGAAATGTCAGTGGAAAGGGGAGTAGGATGTAATATTCTTTAGAAGAAAATACTAATATCATTATGCAATAAATCAATAGTTTCGAACAATTACATGCAATGAAACTGATAATCAAGTAGACACTTATGATGGACTTGATAACTATTGACAATATCATCCAGGATTATTCCGTAGTGGTGAGAGATAACAGAAATTTGACATTGATAGACATTACGGTGACATATAATATTAGAACATGCTTTTAAAAAATTAATTACTGTAATATAAGTGCGCTTAAATTAGACTTGCTATGTTTTATTAATAAGATTATATATAGTTCAGGCCCGATAATATTACGAGAGAGATAACAGTGATAGCCATTAGTATGACATATAATATTAGAACATGCTATTAAAAACAATTAATTAAATTAATTACTGTGGTGTTATAATAAGTACAAGGACGAATGTATATTATCAAAAAACTGGTAGGGCCTTTTGACAGCCACAGCGTCATCTATCGTCATAATATTCAAGCTAGATGAATTTAGAGAAATGTTTGTTGACAATAGTTTCGCAAAATTGGTATTTGGAACTTTGTTGTTGGGGATTTGTTTTTCGTTGTATGATTCTGGTGAACTGTAATTTTTTATATTTCTAAATTTTATCATTATATTAAATACAATTAAATCAAACAAAGATACAATTTACAAATCAGATAATCATGATAAATATTGATGTTAATAGTTTAGACAGTAAACTAAAGGAGAAGGAACCCTCTAGACACCCCAACCCCTTCCCCGTATGTTTCTGTAATCATTCCCTTCTACGGTGGTTAAATCCTACATTCCCACTGTCATATACTTGAATACTTACCGAACCCATCCTGCTGTAAACCTACTATAAACAATAACACGTGAACCACTATAGAAGTGCTTTATACGATCCTGATCTGATGTTAAGCTAATGATAAGATGGTAGACGGTATTTTGTGACAAGCATCTCCTCAATTTGGCTGATATACCTTTTAGACGGGAAAAGTTGGACTTGGACAATGTACCCTAATTCAAGAAATCTCCTCCTATGAATTTGGGAATGATTTAGCAATAGTTTATATCAAAATCGTTATTTTGGCGATATTCTGATAGCAGCCTGCGCTTTATTGTTGAATTATTGCATTTCGGCCCGGTTTTTTATAATTTTTTTTACTGTTTTTGAGTAAAAAACAGATCTATTTATCTCGATGGTACCTGCCTGAAATACTCCCAGACCGCGTTTCCGGCAGTTATTTTTCAAAATTTTCTTTTCGCCCCCTCCCCTTCAATTTGGAACCTCGCTCCAGCATTGCACCTCCACCCCACCCCACCCCACCCACCCCCACCCCCGGCGGCTGGTGCCGCCGCTGAGTACAAAATGTCAAGAATTTTCGAAATTATCGCCAAAACACCTACGGCTACGATTAATGAAAGATTTGTTCGGCATATTATATTGGGCTCTAGAGAACATATGGATACAGGGTCTTTGATTGGGTTAAATGACGTAGTTTCTCTTCCCAGCTAATAGGGTTGTCTCCGTGTCCTCTAGTTTCTCTTCCCAGCTAATAGGGTTGTCTCCGTGTCCTCTAGTTTCTCTTCACCGCTAATAGGGTTGTCTCCGTGTTCTCTGGTATCTCTTCACAGCTAGTAGAGTTGTCTCCGTGTTCTCTGGTATCTCTTCACATCTAGTAGGGTTGTCTCCGTGTCCTCTAGTTTCTCTTCACAGCTAGTAGGGTTGTCTCCGTGTCCTCTAGTTTCTCTTCCCAGCTAATAGGGTTGTCTCCGTGTCCTCTGGTATCTCTTCACAGCTAATAGGGTTGTCGCCGTGTCCTCTAGTTTCTCTTCCCAGCTAGTAGGGTTGTCTCCGTGTCCTCTAGTTTCTCTTCATAGCTAGTAGGGTTGTCGCCATGTCCTCTGGTATCTCTTCCCAGCTAATAGGGTTGTCTCCGTGTCCTCTAGTTTCTCTTCCCAGCTAGTAGGGTTGTCGCCATGTCCTCTAGTTTCTCTTCACAGCTAGTAGGGTTGTCTCCGTGTCCTCTGGTATCTCTTCCCAGCTAGTAGGGTTGTCTCCGTGTCATCTGGTATCTCTTCCCAGCTAGTAGGGTTGTCTCCGTGTCCTCTAGTTTCTCTTCACAGCTAGTAGGGTTGTCTCCGTGTCCTCTGGTATCTCTTCCCAGCTAGTAGGGTTGTCTCCGTGTCATCTGGTATCTCTTCACAGCTAGTAGGGTTGTCTCCGTGTCCTCTAGTTTCTCTTCACAGCTAGTAGGGTTGTCTCCGTGTCCTCTGGTATCTCTTCACAGTTAGTAGGGATGTCTCCGTGTCCTCTGGTTTCCTCCCATTACAAAACAACCTTACGCAAGTTTGTCGAGTGTACGTTAAACGCCATCGACACCTACGGAGTTGGGGAACAGTGATTGCAAATTATGACTTTTGGTTTTCATATATCGATCAGAGGACGTACGATGTTAAATCATATTTCATTTGATTATATAAACTGCTTTTAATGATATATGGTATTCATCACAGTTTGAAAGACAGCTAGAATCTAATAGCTTCCAGACCTGTTATTACAGAATATCTAGTTTATATCGGTTCGCCCGTGTTTATACCGTCCCAGTTATCGACGATAAGTCATTGTTCAAAATACAGTCATAACCATCTGTGTTGCCAATTATTGTTATTCAGACACAAGATATTGAATTATACGTTACAGCAGTTTGATGTCTGTGTCATCCGAGAGAGATATGGAGAGTGGGGGGTCAACGTCCACTCGACACAAACTATAATAAAGTCATTTCAGTTTTATTTCAATAATCCGCGGGAGAAAACCCACGAAGTACTCCTTGTCATGTACAATCGGG